AGACCATTCAAATATTTTTTTTAGAACAACTGTTTTCTTATTATGAGTCGGCCATCTTGCCGATTTCTAGTTAATTATTTTATGAATCGATGCTTGCTTGAATATATTTGATTCAAATAAAGAATTAAGCTATATTTTACTTCTATGTTAAATATATATTAAAATGTTTCTTTTTCCTTTCTATAAATTATATATCTAGCAGTTTTTTAATTTTCTAATATACATCATATATATGTTAATTGTATCAAAATTTTATTTTGATTTTATTTTTATTTTTAAAAGAAATAAATTGGTTAATTTTTATAAAATTAATAATTGATTAAGTTTAACAAAGCATTATAAACAAAGTCAAAATATGATGAACTAACAATTATGACGATCTTTTTATAAATCAGATGAAAAAAGATTTTTTTATTGTTTCGAATTAAAAATTTGCTTTTGATCAACATTTATTAATAATATTTTAGAACCTTACTATTTATATATATTTGAAATTTATATATTATTAAATAAGTATCATCTATAGTTTTTTAATATTGTTTCTTTTATTATTTTTTTAAACTATAACTTATTAATATATATATATTAATAATATATAGATATGAGATATATATTATCTCAATTGTTTTTAATATGCATTGTTGTTTCATAAAAATAAATACATTGCAATTATGAAAGGTATAAATTATTTAAATATTTTTTTAACAAAATGTTAAATATTCAATTTATCTTAACGATTTGTTTATTCATTGAGATTGAAAGCAAACAAAATTTATCATTTGTAAAATTTTCCGTTAATATTACATTCTTCTTATAAAAATATTACGATTCAAAAACCATCTTTTAATTAAAGAATTAAAATGAATTAAATATAATTCGAAATTGAATTAAATATGAAAATGTTGACACTTCTCTTGATTTGATTATTATTATCTTTATTATATATTTTTTATTGATATATTTATTTGCAAAATAATGCGTTAATGTATTCAAAATATTCGGTTTTTTTGAAAAAAAATAAATGTTTGTAAGTTGTGCCACTTTAAAAAGAAGAGATGTGATATGTTGGAAACAATTGCTACGTTCAATACAGAAATATATGTTTTTTTTATGTTATTATTTTTCAGTGGTTGGAACACATGATTAAAGTAACCGTCGACCTTGTTTACGCTCCATTCTCTGTTTTCTGCTTGAAAGTACATATATAACAATTTAACACGCGCAATTGACGATTTCAATTCTTTTCAGAGCTTTTGCTTAAGAAAGATAACCCAATTTCTCTAATTTTTTCTACATTCCTTTCCCTTTCTATTTGACTGTATCTTCCGTTACACAAGTATATATACAGTTAGTTATGTCTCTTTATTTTTTGTTTCTTATTTTGTCGTTAATTATTTATTTCCTCTTTCGAGTTTTTTCAATCTTTATTCTATTTATTGCACACTTTATGATAGTGACATTTATTACATGCCTAATTTTAATTTAATTAGAATAAAATTTTTTTTTGGTAATTTTAATTTTATTAGCATTGAAATTTTTTTATACACTGGTTATACTATCGGTCATTCGTCTCGCATCACTTCCGCTTGCCATTGTTCGTCACAATTGATTCTTGGAAAACTTGACTGTATTTTCTAATTTATATTCACAAAACAATTTAAATACGAGATGCATCATAAAAAATAATTTATTTATAGATGGCAACTATTTTTTTTGCTAACAAAAACATAATTAACATGAACTAATGAGCAAACTTTAATCGATACTCAAACTTCGATCGATAATCCAAGTAAAAATTTACGTGATTCTAATCAACGTCATTTGATTGCATGTTCATGGTAAATAATATTTGCGCAAGTACGAATTTTGCAACTTATTGCCTACGTATTTTCTCCGGATACTAAACGATCTTTCGCCATAATCTCGTCGCTTTGTGCATGCCGTGATTGATGTCGTGTGAAAGACGTTAATGTGAAAACTTCGGAAGTATTTGTTGGAACGGAGAATGTGATTAGATAAAAAAAAAGAAAGGAAGAAAAATTTTGTACGAATAAATGAATTTGTGTTATTATTTATGTTTGCAATATTCTTATTGTTAATATGTATGTATAGATTTTAAGAAAAAAAGATTTATATATTTCATCAACAAAATTGAGGAATTTATGGTAATGTTTCTAGTTCATTACCGGAGGGATTTTCTAGTAATTTTATTCTAGTAATTTGTGTATCGCATATGCGCAATATATATTTGTTTGATTTATTATTTCTTTTTTTTTTTTTTGTTAAACTTGATTGCTATTTTCCTTTCTCTTTTTTTTTTACGATTACCTCAAACAGAAAAAGTTTAAAAGTATTCATCATTGAACTATGGACTAACAAACAGGATGGCGGCATTTCAGTGGGAAGGTTTTGAAACACGCGTCACGCTGTTTTTCCCGTTACGGACGCGAACACTATCGACCGAATTCTTTCATGATGATTGGCACGGAACAATTAAAAGCTTGCTGGACTTGTTTCAGTGTGAAATGTTATATATACGATGTTTTATAGATCAACTGATCGTGAATTAATGAAGGATCATAGGATTCAACATTATTTAATAGCGGTTTCATTAAATTTATTATTTATAATGGAGAAGAATCTAAAATTATATTTAACAATATTTATCAATCTTAAATTATTTATTTTTTTATATATTTGTATTGATATCATATATATGTCATAATATCATGAGAAGATTATTAAATAAAAATAATTATATATCGTTGATGAATAATCAGAAAATCATGAAAAATGAATAGCAATTGATCGATATAATTATTGAATCAATTTTCCTACAGTTCGTAGAATGCATTTAATAATTAATTTTAATGATATTTCGTAACGAACAAATAAAAAATTTACATTACTGAAGGTCTATTCTTGGGTTTGCGCGTAAGCATCCGCTTATTCGCGCCGTTGCATATCGTGGCCACGGGGGACAGGCACGTGTAATGTGCGCACATGTAAAAGAAAAAAAGCGCAGCGCTCATCTACATCAGTATATATACGCATATGCGCGATGTGGACAAACAGTTTCTATTCAGAATATAGCCAAACAATGCGAAAAGTGAATGGAATCACATAACTTTGTGATTCACGATCATGCAAGATATGTATAACATAACTCATATACATGATACAGTTCATATTGGAACATTTAGTTTTGTTTCTAATTAACATTGTAATATAATATATAATACACGTGTCCCTCAATTTAATATATGTTAATGTAAGCGTCAAAAAAAGGACATGTTTTATCATTGAAAAATCTTGTCAAGGACGAAATTATTTTCAGACTATAAAATTATTTTTAAGATTTTTGTTTGTAGAAACTTTATATTAATGAATAAAAAGATCAAATTAATCAACAATTATAATTTGGAAGTAAGAAATAAAAACTTATAACAGAATCCAGATTACACAATTAAAGACAAATATTGACCAAAAACATCTTGAAAGGAAGCGTTTTAAAGAAGGTTGAAAAATCGCGATAAGTCATGTGACGGTTACTGATGCTAACTGTAATGACGATAATTAGTTATGGCTGCCTTCGTGTGATGAAAGTAAAATTGGGAACGCCAATTGAAATAAGAAGCGTAGAACAAAGAAGCAATGTCATGCATCCAATTATAAGCAGGGACGATTGTATGCATTGATAAAAATTTTCTCGCGATTGCAATTGAGGTTAAGTACGTAGTACAGATTTTGCGCAATTGTTATTCAATGGCAGTTTCTTTGGAAAACACGTTCTAAGCATTGTTCAACAAGTTCTAATCCAATAGGAACCATATATATATATATATATACACCTGACATAAAGAAATCAATGATGACTAAGGATGTATATATCAGAAATTTTAATTGACTTTACTCACATTATTTACATAATCGATGACTAATGTTATCGTTGCAATAATATTTCCGTATTGATTGTGATTTTAACATTTTTGAACGATACCATGTCTCTTTAAGACGATGCTAATATACTAATAATACTGTACGCGAATACGCGAGTCGTTGGCCTATCATCCAGCATCGAATATATATGTGTGGATAAAAACGAAAGAAACGGTTGAATTGAACCGAAATGAATATGTAGAGAAAAATGAAACGAGAAACGATGGAACATTTCATAATGAGTTGAAACGTTGCTATTTTTTCATCTAAATATATGATCAATATGTTTTATTAAAGTTATACGAGAATTCATATATTTTTATACTGATCAACGATCAATATCTGCAATTGATAATTATATAACTTTAAAGATTTCACGTTATATAAAAATCAATTAAACATTAAAAATAATATTTTCGTTATAATGTTAAGTATTGTTTAAAATATTTTAAAGAATCTAATCACAATGAATAATTGTAATTCTAATAATGTCAATATTGTATTTGTCAATAGAATCGTTGCACAAGTGCCAATGTGGTTTATCAATATTAGCAACTGAATGAATTGTTTGAACACCCGAGCTGCTATTGAACTGTTTGACTATTCGTTTTCAATTCTCGAGTATAAAGGAATCAAAACATTATAAAGAAATAATAACAATTCGATTACAGATGATACGAAATGATTTATAAATAATAAAGAATATCTTTTGTATCTAAATTATTAAAGCTATATAAATAAAGTTTATTTCTTTCTATTTATTGTACTTATAATCAATTAAACAGATAAAAGCAAAAAAAAAAAAAATTAATTCGATTGATATCACAATCGATTTAATTTATTTATTATATATGTCATTATTATAACATTACAATATATTTAAATATTACTTTTATATTTAAATGAATTTCCTATAATATTCAAAATATAATAGTAAAAAAACGAAATTAAAAATAGAAAATTTTTTCCAGATAATAAATGATATATAAAGAATTATAAAAAATATTCTTAATATTATAATGAATTTTTGTTGTAAAAATAACTATGAATAGGTACGTTACAGAACACCCTATATGAATCGAGGAGGGCGCCAAGGGAGGGGCCCTTCTTTGTGAGACGGGCTCTGACCTCAACGGATCGTTGGGCCCGAGGTAGGTGCCTCTGACTGTGAACAGCCAAGCTGTTTCTGTTGGTTTGCTTGTCTGTCTGGCCAGTTGCCTGGCCTCGTTGCCAAGCAACCGTAAAAGCGTCACCCTCTGAAACTTTAAAATTCCTTATACCGAATTCTCCAAACAACACTCGCGCACAACACGATCACGTTTTCCACGTGATAAAACAGTTGGTTTAAAAATACATACGAAAGGCCAACGATTTTGTATCCTGCCAGTATATATTTAGAAAAGTACACGTATATATAGAATATCATTCGGTACGAAATCGACTGTTACAATAGAAGTATAGTGTAGATTGTTTCTTTGTGTTGGTATTTAAAAAACTTGTTCTCTCTGGTTAGAAAAAAAAGAATATCAACGTTTACTTTTTATATTTTATAGTCAATTCTTTTTCTTTAGATGTACAATCGAGTGATCGATGATCGATATAACCATGAACTTTCGCGTGAAGTCATCATATCGAATGGAACGGTCAGTCATTAAGAACGTTAGGATATCGTGTATATATCTCGTCGCGTATTGCCACGTGCCCGTGCATCGCGGTTAATTTTAAGCTATGTCAATTTTGTAATACAGTTAATTTCGTCAAGTTGACCTATGATATTAAATGCGACATCTTACGATTTGTGACATCTTTTTCTTTTTTTCCTTTGCACTTCACAATTTAATTCACAGCGTCGATTACTCGGTAATATTCAACGATTTATACAAATTTTGAATAAAATAGTGAAAACTTACCCATATGAGCGAGGTCGATGATCGGGATTTCACACTTGCTCAGAAGAGTCTCACAGGTTTGGGTTACAATCGGAGCACTCGTGCAGCAGCTCATCTTGCTTGTGGCTAGTTACTCGTCGAAATGAGATTTCTATTGCTGTCTTTGTCTATCTTCTTTCTCGGTTTTTCCTTCTTCGTTACACAGACTTCGGCTGCTCTCGCAATTTCGTATCTTGTCCCCGATCTTTCTGTTCCGTTCACTCGATTGCTTCTTTTTCGCGCGTGTTGTTTTTTCGTATTATTTCTCCTTCTTTTTCTCGATCTTTGTCGTTTACGTTCGATCAAATAGCACCAGTATGGACGGAAAATATATGGCTTGAGGTTGTAATGCTTGTGCACACTGCCATTTACCACGTGCGAACTCACCCACCTAATACAACCACGATTCCGAATTCACTAAAATATCCAAAAAAAAATCATACTATCACTGCACACCAATAGAGATTCTTCGTTTAAGTTACAGCTGAATATACATTCTTCAACGAGAAGACGAAAGGAAAACTTGCAGACCTTACAATGGCGTTACCGGTTTTTTCTAAGAGGAAAGGACACAACTAGATATGATGTCACGGCAACCCTAACGGTAGCCGTAAGAGACGAGTTTATTGTGGGGCTGGTGATGCGGCAGGTAAACGTATACGTGACTGTGAACTGGTGGGCACATGCTATGATATCGACAGAATGGCGATTATTAACAAAGATTGCAACAAGTACGATGTCTACTGACACGCAAACGCTTCTCGACTGAACTAAGTGAACTAAGCGAACGCGCGCTTGGTAATCCGAATGAACCCGAAGGGGACGAAGACTCACGAACATTAGTAGTGGGGACCGAAATCCAATGCACGAATGTTTACGAAATTTACCGATCACATGTATGAGAAAGAGTGGGGAGCGTTAGTAATTTCGCGCGCTTATATGAAGAAGAAACGAATAAAATTAAGATTTTTGACTTTTATTCGAATATTTATAATGTTATTTACATCTTAATGTCGTAAAATACATATATTTTGATACTTTCATTTACATTAGGAAGTATTATTATTTTGCATGTAGATTATATTTCAAATATTAAGATTTAGAATAAAAGAATATTATCCAATGCATTTCAGAAATGATAAACTCGATTTAATTTTTTATCGCAGAAATGCGAAAACAATATTAGTTCTGAGAATGTTTATGTGTAACGATTTCAGATTGATTTCAAAAATTTCAAAAATCGATACGATTCTCCGTAGCGATAGCGATAACTATACATTTACATTATTCATAGTCTAACCGTACACTTATATAATATTGCCTACGTCTTACCAAACTATAGCTTATGTTAAATACTACATCTGTAAAATCTGCGAGACAGAACTTTACAAACCTGCGACAAGTCGTTTCGATAAAGATACGAAGGAATATCTTGCCTTATATGCAACTTAAGTTATCAATGCGTCTTCCACAGTGCTTTGAGTCGTACTGCACTCCAGTGGACGATCTTGAATTACTAAACGGAAGATTTGTCGATCCCCACTACGAACGCGGTTTTCCCTCGCTAACTTCTCTGATCATTATAATTTGTGTTTCATTATTATCAAAGACGCTTATAAGTTAGCCTTGTCTTAGCGTCACTTCCACACCTTTATCACATGTCATGTTTTTTTGCGTTTCTTTTCAGGTGTTTCTTTCCACGGAAAAAAAATCTCATCTCTCCTCTCCAATTCCCTCGAGCCTTCGAATATTCTTCAAAGTTAAGCTTTTACCTGCAAGATTAAGTCTCTCTCTTACAATATTTGCCAGCTGTTCCTCCAAGAAACGATCTTTACACTTATCTTCTCGATTTCTTTGTTCTTGAACTTCTTCTTTGTTCGAGAACTCGAGCGTGTTTCGCCTATAACTTGTTAATGCTTTTTTTTTTTTTTTTTTTTTTTTTTTTNTTTTTTTTTTTTTTTTTTTTTTTTTTTTTAAATCCATTTAAATGATCGTAAAACATCCTTTGTGACGCGATATGATTTACATGGATGGGATAAACATGCGAATAGTAAATTTGTCAACGCGTTTCATCGTCGTACATTCGTTTTTTGGATATCGTGTGTTGCTCGTGAGCGCTCGGTTTGATCCTGGCGGCACCGAAAATCTTACTAAAACGAGTAGAACGTTTCGCACTTTTTGGCGAAGAATCGAACGGTGAAGAAGAAGTGTTCAAATCCCTTTTGAAGCTGTCTTTACGTTTAAAAGAAATGCTTTTTGTCGACACTTGTTTATCGATTCGTTTACGTTTATCGCGTTTCTTCGCATGCCGTGATTCCCAGTTCGAAGAGGATGTGCTTGAGCGTCTCTCTGTCTCTGAACTGAAAGTGGGGAGATAAGAGGTCTCATTTGTCATGTTAAACGCCGAAGATGTGTCGATTCTAGAATTATCTTATCCGTGGACCACACTGGGATCCGCGGAAACGACGCGACGCTGGTCGTTTATCGATAAATTGTAACTCGTTCTTAATTGAAATTTAACGATTCGATTGAAATTATTGAACAATTTACGACCGCGATATATTTTCATCTTGAAAAACAAATTACGAATGATCACCTTGAGCTATCCAACGACGCGCTGGTAGACTCATTGGCAAAGGACTTGGGAAAACGATACATGCGACACGTTCCGCATAAAAGTTTCCGTATCATCTATAAGGAAAGGTCGAAAATTTAATCAAGAAAATCTATTTGCATTTCGTCAATGACAGTCTACTTCGGTTTTATATATATATATATATTTTATCTCATTAAAACGAATAAATAAATTTTCATCGATATTCGGATCTTATTAAAATTTTATAGGAGAAGAGATAATGATAGAGAGAGAAAGAGAGATAAGAATTTATAGGATAATTAAAATCACCTTTGAGATTAAAAAAGCTAAAAAAAACTGAATGATCACCAATGTGCTGGTCATGACATAGGCCACGATCACGATCCTGAGAATAACAGGACTCATGACTTCGACACAACCATTCATGTTTATAGTTCTGATATCGTTTTCCGATATTTGCGTGTGCTCGCACGGTGACATTGCATGTAAATTGCAGCAGCTAAACGGGACACTTTTATCCCTATATTCTTCGTCGGATATCGGACTGTGAATTGCCATTTCCTCTCGCGAGGCATAATCCACACCCTGATCAACGAATTACATTTTTGATATCACATTGCATTTTAAATATTCTGTATATATTTTTTGTTCACACTTGCTATACCGTGTTTCGAGTTACCCTTTTTGAATGGTGGATTCACCTGCCAGTCAAAGAGGAACCAATCTGCGTAAGAGGAATGGCCGCAGCACTGAAAGATGAACTGTATCTCGTCGATCGCGTACTTGTGCGATGCTGTACTCGCGTACAAGTGCATCGAATTGTTGAAAATATCGATCAATGTCTCCTGCCTGACGCTTATGTGATATCCTATGGAGACTATGGTGGCAGCGTTCATTATGGCGCATATCGCAATCACTATAAGCAGGCATTGCAGTGTTCGTCTTTTTTTCGCGCAACAATGTGGCACCTTTCGTCTAAACGAGAAAAACAAGTGGATGAGTATGATTGGAGAAATTCAACGAACAAGGAATAATTGATGATTATCGTTTTGTGTGTGTGTGTGTGTGATGTAATAATAGATATACATAATAATTACAAATAGAAATGTTAAAGAAATAAAAGAAAATATGCAATGCACGGATACGACTTTATTAGAGGATTCATTTTTATTACGCTTTTCGTTTAACTTTGAAATTTCAAACATATTGAATTTATAATACGGGAATAAATTTAATAATCGTGTACTCACTTCCGTATATTACGGACCGTGATCAGAGCAGTCGGCAGACCCAAGCTGACGTTCGTCAAGGTAAATACGACTGGTCGCAGACCACCCGCGAATCGAATGATCTGCCATTCGGCGAATATCTCCAGGATCAACATGAAAAACCGTTTTGCCTCGAAGATGGCCAGAGTAACGGCGACACCATAACCGAATCTCACCTCCCATCCACAGTTGCACGGAACTCTTGCATTTTTCTTAAATACTATGTTGCTTTTTCGGCTGCCCTCGTTACTCGACATTCAACGAATCTTCCCGTATTATTCCACGCTTTTCATTCACTGGATCTTCGTTGGTTTACCTGTAAATATCTTCTAGAATCACCAGTTTATATCAAAATGAAGCAACATTGTTGATTAATTTGTAAAATATCAAAATTTTGTAAAAAAAAATTTATATTTTCCTGCATAACGTCAACAATAATGTCAAAGAAAATGATAGATATTCCATTTATTTCATCGTTCGAATAAGAAAAAAACTGTTCGTTAAGATAATAGCCGATAAGATATACGCAAATTATTTTTTCATCTTTGAATTTTGCAAATAATAAAGCGCTATAAAATTGCCAGTGACATGCGATGTCGTTGTTGTACCGTTGTGCATGTTTATCGAGAATGATACTGACCGGAAGTTACCGAAGAAAAAACATAATTTTCTGAAATTGAGGTGCAATTATTCGAATTGCGATCACAAATTTGTATGTACAACGGGTTCTAACTTTCTATCTGTGCAGAAATTTTACGATTTTTACAAAAACGTATTAAATTAAAACATGACGTTCGATCGTAACGTTAAAATTTGTGTATTTTGTCCGACGAGATTAAATCTGTTTTATAGTTATGTGTGTAATATGTTTATCGCAGTCACAGTGTCGTGTACGCAATATGGTATTCAAGGTTAATTGACTTTGGACATATATAAACTCTATTATTGCAACTCGGGTCTTAAAAAGATACACCGATCTTAGATTCGATTAACAATTTTTTACTTAGATATATATATGTATATTCACGAGGAATTTATCTTCAAGAAAAGTAAACGAAAAAACGAAAGTCTCGACGCGACTTGTTTCGAGTGAATAAATAAAAACATGGGTCGAACGACAGGTTTACGATTCGTACGATAAGTATTGTAGATTCATCTGAAAGAGAAACACTCACCAGACGCCATGGTGCGAGAGATAAGGCAGACTTGACTAAAATTACGAAACGTTGCGTGGAAAATTACACAGTTTTTAAGGTTTTCGCATAAGCGAGAATGGTGCACGCTCGATGGGTCATTGTCTTTGATTTGAAACTAATTTCACATGTATCCTTGTCCCAAATCTTGAATTCATCATTTTATTTGAACTTATTAGCGGGAAAATAGATAGTTATAGTTTTAGTCTGAGATTGTATTTAGTATGTATATTATACGTATGTACAAATATATCTATATTTACATTTAGTCAATACATAATTTTAAATATAGCTTTACAAATTATTCTCTAAGTACGAATTTTCTTGTCATTGCAGGTACAATAATTAACATAAAACTATTATAGTGATAATCCTTATTTTCTAAATCGAATTTAAAATCGACTTAAGTTATTAACTTATACTTTAAGCATTTACAGAATATATTTTGATATGTATCTTACTGATTATAATAAGAATAGTTTACGCTTTATGCGTTAATCATTTCAAATTATGTACATTTTAGGTACATTTTAGGGAAGACATCTTCTTTAATTATTCGTTTGCGGTTTAAGCTCGGATATTAACGTGATATTTGTATATATCGACGTAAGAATGTTTTATACCATAGTTCCAGAAAGCCAGAAATGGTAAATTTTCCGTCAAATAAATTGCTAATCGCATTTGACTATTGAAGAACGCCCTGAAGAATCTGGACCACCAATAGGAAGATGGTAGCAGGTATTTGTGTGTAAATAACTGAAGATTCAATATAAATCTACTATACCACGACATGGTTGATGGAGCTGAAAATATATAAGTTTTATTTAAATTGTTGTTTAAATAATCATTAATACTTTTATCATAAAATGATTTACCTATTTTTAACGAATGATTATTATTCGTAGCGATACTTGATGCAAAAATAAAAGTGAATTGGACGAAAGCGGTTGAATCTAAATAAGGATTCACGGACCATAGAGATTTGATTAAAACACGACTCATTTCCTCGAAATCTTTACCACTAGAAGCGAGTGATGGAAGAAAAACTTCGTCTAGAAGTCGTCTACAAAGAGCAAGTGTTTCTTCAACGCTTCCAGTGCATATGTTGTACCTGTATAAAATATACTTAATTATTTATATACATAAAATTTTATTTTTCTATTAATCTAATTATTAATCTTTTTAAAATTGTTTACTAAAGTTTTATTATTTACTTTTATTATAAAAACTATTAAAATTAAAAGTATTCAAAGTATTAAACTATAAAATTAATCTATCTAATATCTATAAAACTTATATAAAATATACTGGTTAATATTAAATTAGAATTTTTCAAATTAATAAAATGATTTTTTATAAAATAATTTTCGATAATTGGTGTATAAACTAGAAAAAAAGAAAAGTTTTTGTCAAAAGCATATACAATGTACAAACTTGTCTTCCATGCCCAACATACTGCCAATGACTCGCCAGAAGTGAATCAGTCCTTCTAGTTCCTCGAAATTGTTATTCACCCCAAGATAGTCACCGCCCAAAAGGGTGAAACCCATGAATCCAAATTGAGCCAATGCCATATCCAGTTGCGAGACTCTGTTCAGCCCTGCTTCTGAGCTTCTTCGAAACGCTACGCAGTGTTTTTTTCGCACAATTTTCAACGACTCGAGAAATCTGTAAAAGATAAAAAAGAAAATAATCTTACAGAACATCTTGCTTTAAATAAATTCAAGATTCACATTTGATTCATTTTACAATATTTACAAGATATTCGAATTTAAATGTTCAAATAATTTTAAATAATTTTTATAAAATACTTATAAACGAATGTAAATTATTTGAAAGCTCAGAAAAATATAAAATTCTAACTACAATTAATTTTTCTATTATTAAATAGAATAATTAAATAGAAAAATAATATTTTTATGTTAAAATTTTTTATTTATAATAATATTCTTTATTTAAATATTGTATTATGTATATAAAAATATTTATAATACACTTGTCGTCAATGGCATTTTGGATTTTCCCAGATATGAAATTATTCTGTCTGATCATTTATACAGGATTATATTCGGCAAGATAAATCGATTAAAATACCGGTGCATGCGCCCGTTTCCTCGAATACCAATGATGTTTCTCTGTCGATCTTTCCAAACATATTTTCATCGTGTGCAGGATATTTGAATAGAATTCGTAAAAAAATCAAATTTTCTTGACACGTGTTAAATCTGCCTAATGTAAATTCTATTTTAAATTGTAAATGATAAATAGAGATAAATATAATGATAAATAGAGATATGTGATAAAGATGCTTTGTAGCGGCAAATATTAACAATAAAAATTAATTTGAAGGAAATATTATTCTTAACACGCTTCATATACGCTTCCAAGAAATTGGATTAGTAAGCTACTGATTCAACGAAGAAGATTTATTATCTTTTTTTAAGAATTTTTTAATTTTTTTTTTGGCCATTTCGGATGGGTGAATTTTTATACAAATTCTACGCATTTTTAAGCTTAAATATACATATTTACAAGATATTTTAGTTAATTATTGATTAATTAAATGATAAACATATTTATTTTCGATAAAAGCTAAATAATTTAATAATTGAAAAAAAATTCTCCAAAAAAAGAATATTTTATTTTTATGTTATTTAAAATCACAAAAGAAAAAATTTGTAATGAATTTTGATTCACTTTAAATGTGTTTTTGCTATTTTCCTAAATATTTATAAAATATCATTTGTCTGAGCTTATATATTTGTTTTTTAATAAGTTATCCTCTTTTTTTGAAATTATTTCTGAAAAAAAAATTTTACTATTACTTACTCTTTTTCTATACCGGCTCTTTTTCCATACCAAATCCAATTGTGCAAAATAGTGGATACATATCTGCGAAATGCGGTGCATGGTGTACCACTTTGTCCAGTGAACATTAAAACGTCCTTGATCGATGGTACAGCGAATAAAGATAACAATCCACATAGTTTGGCAATCATCATGGTGAAAGCGTTGTTATAAAACATCTGCTGACCGAGAAGAAATTTTTTTTCGTCGAAAAAGGACGGTAATTCTGGTTCCAGCCATTCGAAATCCATGAAAGTACTTGTTCCATCTTTTAAAAGCGTCTGCAGTTTTAATTCTACTACATCTAAATGGAAAAGTATTAATAATATTATTTTAATAAAGAAATTTTAATCATTCTGATCAATAGCAAATTATATTTTTAATTTATAAATTAAATAATAAATAAGAGTATCTTTCATGTAGAATTTTTCTTTTTTTTTTTTTTTTGTATGAAGATCAAATTATAAATCTTATAAACTCAAAACTCGAAACTTAAAAATTTATTGCTCAAAAATTCAGGACAAAAGAACTCTCTTTCAAATTATGAAATATGATCTTGGACTTTGGATTCGTGATACCTGGATTTTATAGATATTTTAAATCTTCTAATTCTCTTCAAATCCTGTATTTTATGGTTTGAACCATGATTCTTGAATTATTCCTAAATTACCAAGATTAGAAATTCCCAAATTCCCAAATTCCGAAAATTATAATTTTTTAAATTCTCAAGATTAGAAATTTCCAAAAAATGTATATTCTTAGAAATTATAAAAATTTTTTAAATTTTATTAAATTTTTAATATTTGTATTTTATGATATAAATATGGAATAAGCTCAATTACATTTCATCATTCATTCCATATATTTCAGTATTCATTACATAAATTTAATGTTATTTATATAAATATCATTTTTCAAATAAAAAATTAATAATAATTAATTAAGTCATTAATATAATATAATGAGTTAAAATATCTTACAAATGATCGATTATCTTTAAAAAAAGTTGTCGGACGAGTTGATCATTGTTTGACAAAATTCGTAATAGTCCATCGATTTTGTAAAACAAACTCACGCATGTTGATCGTAAAGTGATCTTCGATTCGACACGGCAAAATTCATTTAGTATTCAGACCCATCGAAAGTGGATACATCTGTGCAGTAAACGCGACAGGAATAAAGAAGAATGATGGATGCCCATTATGGTAATCGTATACAATAGTTGTCCATATTAAAATTATTATGAAATTACAAAGATATATCAAATTATTCTATTTATTTTGAACTTTTTATTTTTAAGGAATAGATTTTTAATGGAGTTCTTCATGATTTTTTGATCATTAAGATATCATTTATAATTTATAAAAAATTATGACTAGAAGTTATTATGCAATCAACATACAACATTAAATTTAAATTATGTATTATACTTTTTTTCAGAAGAAATGATTATATGTCGCCGCTTATGTAATCATGGTAGATAGATCTTCAATAATTCAGAATTTAGAATCCATATTATTCGATATTATATATCAGTAATTAAACAAAGATAAAAAAATATCAAAACAACTTTCAAAATAACTCAATAAATTACTTCTATTTCCATTTATGCATGCTTCATAGAAAAACTATTATAAGACATTGCGAAACTTCGAAGACATCATGCAACTTGTTTAGACTTCAAATTATTCAATCTAATCGTATGTTCGATTGTTTTATTATAAGAGAATAAATATTATTGTGTATTTTTATTTTAAATATTATTATATTAAGAGATTTATTTCAAGATGGTAAATAAGTAAACAATTTTTTAATTATGCAAATTAAATGTTGTAAATTGAAATTTTATCGTATTTGATTTTTTTCTTTTAGATACTTGTTATTTCAACTTACATATCTTTAATATTCGATAAGAAACGTTTCAAAGAAATATTTTATTCTCTTCTTATTAATAGTAGAAAGTTAAATCATCAAGATTATGTCACCCATGTTGTTACGAAAAAAATTGCTTTCACCAATCAATATATTTCGATATTGTCTTTGCTTAAACATTTTTTCCTACTTAATGTTTATTAAATGATTATTCGAATAGTGTTAAAATAGAATAATTACGAGTTGGTTTATTGTATTCACTACCGTTCATAGCTAAATAATCAAGGAAAAGTAAGTCGTGGATTTGTATTTACACTTTTGTGAAACATTGCATGTTTAGAAATTACATGCAATTCTTTGAAATATGTAAAACGAGGTATTAAGAGATGTGTAATGATAATTAACAATTGTAAGTCCAAGATATTAACTTGACTCAAAGAAATACTGTGTATTTAAGTACTATTGTTAATATTGTTTTAATTAAATATATTTAAATATTAAGTAATTACATTAATATTATAAATCATCTTTATATCATAAATAATAACTTGACATAATAATTTAAAATATATTTAATTATTTAATTTTAATTTCTTCTTAAAATTTTTGTAGTTAATGATCTATTAATTTTTATGTAACATGATTCTTACATAAAGCAAACTAAATTTAAGAAGTGAATATACATACATATATATAATGATTAAGATATATAATATATGATAAAAGTCTTATAATATAATATACTTAAAAACAAAAATTATTATATTAAATGACATTAATTTCCAATTGAAAAAAATTATTGGAATTGTGAGATATATCAAAACTTTATATATAAGTACTATACACTATATATTATATATATTCTTCATAAAATTATTATATAAAGTTAAATAAAATAATGATTTATAATAAATTTTTTTCACTTTTTTACTCAATACGAATCGAAAATATATATTAATAATCATTTGATCATAATTTTTATTTTGAAATTTTTAGAATTTTAAGTTTAATGATTAAGTTTAAAAAATTTTGATTTTTATATAAAAAAAGATTAATAATTACATATTCTTACATATTTTACTCATATTTTTTATTTAAGATCGATATATAAATAATTTCTATCTTAGGAGCAAAAAAACTTTGCTAAATTACATTACTACATTAATATATTCATATTTTAAAATTCTATATTTTATTAATTTTTTATAATAAAGTTTTATATTTTATTTTAAATTTTAAATATTATAAAAAAGAAAATCAATTTATATTATATACTTATAAAATTAAAGTTTTCTATTCTAGAAAAAAAAATCAGATTCAACGCAAATACTTTTATTGCAAAGCAAAATAATCATTCTGGAACAAAAATATATCTCTTGGCAATAAAAGCAAAAAATCAGTACAAAACAACACAAATTCGTTCACTTATAGCAAATATTATCGATGCACTGCACTTTTTGAAAAAAACACTGACCTGTAAAGTCCACTTCTTTTTCTGAATATCGATGTTTTTGCTCATTTTTTTCTCTCATTTTCGTCTAGAGGAATAACAGAATCGATTCTTTCACTTAAAATATATCTATCATGGAATGTATTATAAAATAATCAGCATTCTTCTGAAAATATCACGTTGCCATAGATCACTCGTATAAGCGTTACCGATATAAGCCTCGTATATGAGATGATTAAACGCAATATCACGCAAAAATATAATTTGATATAAATAATGTATACAAAATTATCACGTTTTCGTTATTTGATCGTTCTAGTTGCGTGCATTGCAAAGAAATGAAAGAAATAAGTTTCTAGCGCACATCTTAGGAGAAAGGTAGTCTCCTACTTTTCATTCGCTCCTTCCTTCTCTTGGATGCAATCCAAATATATATATAAACATCGTAATAGATGTATGTGTGTATATATAAATGTATGAGTAGGATCTGAAGGACCTTGTAGAAAATCGAACATCAAGTTTTTTATTATAAGAGAGTTGTTTTTTTTTTATTACGTATTAAAAATGTATCATTCAAAATTAAATGCAAAATATTTTTCGTTATGATTAGACTTTTACAATTTCGGATAAATTTTTGTTTGTTTATAAAATTTATATTATGGTTTTACATGAAATTTGTGATCTATAATTTATACGTAACTTTATTTGATTTTTAATACTCATATGTTTTCTAATAATTTAATTACATTTTAAATCACTTTCGTGTTACATATTATCTAATAATTTATAAATATAAATTGTATTAAATATATTTATAAATATTACATTAATAATAGATTAATGATATAAATATTATAATGATATTTTGTAAAAACATTTAACACAATGACACAGTTTAAATTCATTTAATTTAGACAATTATAATTTTTTTCAAACAAAATTTATAATAGCGAAATTTGCATGGTTACCGATAAAATGGATGAAGTTATCGATAGAGTGAATTCCCTAGTTGGTGAAAATAAATCTTAAATGAACGTTTCATACAAAAAAAAAAGAAAAAATGTTTTACTCTTACTTTTCTATCAACTCTATATGTACGCGGAACTTGTCGTATAGTGTTCGCTGGTGAAAGTAGCTACTACTGTATTTTCGACATCGTTTTGACATTCTACACGTATAATATTATTGTAAACTACAAACAACATATGGCCATAAACGATATATAGAATAGACGCGACATGCAACACTTATTTTTAAGATTTCAGAAATTATTTAACTCTTTTTCATCATTTTTGGATTACATGTGATATTATCGATTAAGTGCATTATATAACCATAAATGAAGTATATAATAAAGATTAAATTTATACAAACTGTTAATATATTATAAATTTATTATTTATTCAATATAATAATAAAATATTTAGGATTTTATGAAAAGAAGATACTAAAGTTAATTATATATTGGAATTCTTTCTTGAACACAAATTTTGCAGAGCAAATATAGATAAGAAGAATAAATAGTGGAAGAAAGATATAGATGGAGTAAAAATATAGAAATCAGCACCATCTTTAGAGTTTTGTATGAAATTAATATAGACAATTAGAAGAATAGAAATACAATAAAAATTAGCCATTAGCGCTATCTCTTGAGTATCTCAAAATTTCTTTAAAGATAAAATAGGATAAGAAATGAAGATCAGCGCCAAAACAATATATTATCGACAGAATAAGCTAAATCGTCTAACTTTTTAAATTTTAAACAACAAACACAAACTTGGATTCATAAAAATAATTTAAAACTCTTATTTTATTAGTATAGATATATCTTTCATCTTATAAAAAATATCATTAAAAAATATTTTTCATTTATATAGAATGAATAAAATATCTAATAACATTTCTATCTTTATATTTTTATTATATCTTAATAACTATATTAAATATTATTTTAAGAAGGCAATATGTAAAATATTTATGATCATATTGAATAAAAGATTTGATATTTTTAATTAATAATATTGTAGATTATTTTGTAATGTTTAGTATATTTATAATGTTTAATATATTTAAAACATTATAAAACTTGACCATCATATAAATCTTTTATTCTAATAAAAAAGATGATTGAAAAAGTAAAACATAAAAAATAGAATACTAACACATTTTGAATAGCTCCAAAATATCAAAAATTAAAAGTTGAGGATCTTATATGACACGTTTTGTTGATTATAACAATAAGTAATTGCATTTGTAGGCAAAGAAACTAAGCGTAAACAATATGTATAGATATAAATACAATATTAAACAGTAAAAGATAAGAACATGAAGTAAGTTGCATTTATATTTATATATATGTCAATCATGACACATGAATGTATCTTCTTTTGTTAACTTAACTAAATTAAATATTTTGAAGCTTGTTATATAATGTTATTAGATTTAATGTTTTTTATAAATAATGGGATGTATCATTTTGACAGGTAAATAAACAACAGCAGGCGAGCTTTGGAAAAACCATGTATTATAGAATAATAATAGATTACATTGTTCATGGTAATAATGATATAATAAACCAGAATATACCTGACAATAATAATAAGAATCTAAAATAACACGAATACTGAATACATATTATTAACAATAATGAGAGGAGGGACTTTGGGGATGTTTGGCAAAGGAAGGGGCCAAGCCGCTCAGAATTGTATTCGAAATAAAAGAAAAAAGAAGAGAAGACGAGAAAGAAGTAAATAAAGTTTCTTAGATAAAATTAATAAGATTTTCTGATTAAACGTAACATCTTTGACACGTTTAGTCATTTGAGCATTTTAAAATAAAAATTGACTAAATAACTCGACGCAAAACGATTTCAGTTACGTTTGACATCCGCTCCTCTTATCGTATGCAAAAAAAATTATGTATTTGTGAATTAATAGAACAAGACAAAAAAAAAATTAAAACAAAAAAAGAAAACGAAATACAATGACAGGAATGACAATTGGCTGCATTTAAGACTTACTGCTAAAGTAATTACGACAAATTGCTAATGAGCAATTTATACGATCGTTTAAAAAAAACAACGCATTTATGGCGCTGATTCATATAAAATGTAAATTTTTTTTTCTTTTTCGAAAAATAATAAAATAGATGATTTGCTCGCATTCTCTCCGATTAAACATGAAACCCGTAACGTTTTGTCTTGTCTAACGTGCTGTCATATAAAATAAGGAAAAAACCTTTTCATATGTATAAGTATATATATATATATGTTGAGTGTGCGTGTATATATTTGTAATATGCATAATGCACGCACCACGACGTTTTTATATTTATTTGTAGCACGTGACAGTTTTTACGTGTCAAATTATTGATTATTATATTTTTCAAGCCAAAGATGATAGAAGAACAAAGAAAAACAAAAAAAAATTAACAAACAGATCGAGCACTTTTTTTTCCACTCGAGAGCCAGCTCGTTTTAGGAATTCTACTTTGTTTCCAGACTTCTGGAAATCATTAATTGCACCCTGGTCTTGCGGATTGGTCCTTTCCCATCAGTGCCACGATAATCAAACTTATTATTTGTGTATCACGAGCTGAGATCTTATTGTTAGTCTTACTAACAAAACCACCTCAAATATACTAAAAAAATACGGACAATGTCTAGATATTTAAAAAATTTTTTTTTTGATATTAAAAAAAAAAAAAAAAAAAAAAAAAANNNAAAAAAAAAAAAAAAAAAAAAAAAAATCGGGAAAATGATCAAAACAAATATTGAGGTTAATTAGCTCAATGGACAGATCACGCTGACATTGTTTGTAATTTTTATGGTTTCTTCTCTTTTTTTTGTTTTGGTTTCATTTCAAAAAGTTTTGATCATTGTATTGATTGTAAATGAATTATAGAATATATCCTTTTAAAATATCAAAACATGCAATTCGCGTTACGAGAACGCATGACAGTGGTTTAATAATGCTAAATAAATTGATAAGTGACGATGTCGTTTCGCGTGGCAGCAGTACTTTTATAATATTTAGAATGCAAAACGGCACGTCAAATTTACAGAGGCCTCAGTTAATTCGATGTTCAACTAATGCACAGATATGATTCGTGCACGTTGTGAACGAAGCCAAGCTTATTAATTGACTGTCCAATCTTTATTATTAATACATAATATCGACAAAATGAACCGTTTTCTTCTTTTTAACAAATCATTGAGAGCCTCTGAGGCAAACTAAAAATTGCGATAGAACAGCGCGTACAAATTAATGAAAAACAGTTGGTCAATTAATAAATTATTTATGTAATATTTCTCTAAATATTTTGATATGATTTACGGAGATTTGGCAGCCCTGTGTATTTTTCAACTAATAAACTATGCATTAGAATGTAATGGTTCTATCAAAGAATATACCGAGTGAACAAATTTTTTTTTTTTTATTTTTTTGGATTTCAAAATACAATGAAATCCTTTTCTATGCGCAAGATCTTATGTACGAGTATGAAAAATAAAATAAGCGAAAAATATAGAGAATCATACAGAATATTAATGCGTAGATAAGAATTCGAATTCAATCCTTAATAACTATTCTAGAAAATCTAATATTTATTATGATTCATAATATGGTATTAAATATTCGATTTGTCCCACTCGGTATAATTCTAAAAGTAATTTCACTAACTGCATGGTTGGAAGATAAGTACGCGATGACCAGCTCTTATTCCATTGTGAAATTGTTTTCTCGATTTAATCTACGAGAACGACTTAATATTTTACGTTAAATTATATGTTACTGAAATACCAGATGTATTAATCAGTTTTCTTCCTTCATAACCGATTTTTTATCATTCCGGACGTGTATCTATTCAAAATCCAAAATCGAGTTTCCTTGCATTCAGTATATTGATGATGTATTATAATTTCGCTATAATAGCGTATCACTATTTCATTTATTCAATTTTTTCTTTCAAAGACTATTAATAGACATTACTGGAAGCTAAATTGTATGACGGATCTTGATGAATAAACACATATTAATATATAATTCATATTATTATTTTAACTCGAATTGTGAACATTTGTTCAATTCGTTTAACATTTAATGAAATTCTTCTTATTTCTTAGTAACAATCTTATTAAGATCTCTTTTTAAAAGTTTTTTATATCGTTTATCTGCGTATATTCACAGAAAATAGATATTTTTTTTATTCAGTTTAAAATATTCAGTTTTGCAGTTTTTTCATTTGATAACTCTTCATTATGATCCGTCTTGTCAAAATTATGTCAAGGAAGACGAATGGATTCGTCAAAAAATAAATGGCCGTCAGCAAAAGCACGTCCT